TCTAGGACCTGGGTGAACGAGGTGCGGACGAGGGCGAGTAGTAGGCCATTTAGGAGGGGGCTGTGACACCTACAGAGAAGTGACCAGGTTTGGGGGGTGCTGAGCTTGAAATGACAGCAGGACATCAGTCAGATATGGAACTGCTCTGCGAGAGATGACAGGATTGGGGTTGGGCCTGGGGAGTTATCTGCATTAAGGGGATGTTAGCTGCGATCAGGAGTGAAGAAGTCAGCAACGGAGAAGACCCAGGCATGAGCAGAGGCTGAGACACAACCTGGGGAATGCCCTCTCATAGGCCTCCTTTTGTTATATAACCTGAAGTTCCCATTGCTGAATGATCTTTAAAAAAAATATTTATAGAAAAAGTTTTTAAGCAGCCATTTCCAAGGATGAACAGTGAGGGCACAAAAGCAATCCCGTACAAATGTGAAAGTGTTTTGTAAAATCCATTTACAAAAACAAGTTCTATCATGTTCTATGTTAGTCTAAGAACTAGGTTCTACATGATCAGATGAACAAGTGATACATTTCGAGGAAAAGGTTGCTCTTAATTAAAGTTGTCTACCTGTTAAAAAAAAACACCTTTACATATGCTCCATCTTATTATCAGAGGCCTACAAGGCGGGCACTTATCTCACACAACATAACCCGGGATCACAGGTTAACACATGGTGAGGCACAGACAAAATTTCCTGGCTTCCAATAAAATGTGCTTCGTCGCTTCCCGTTCCCTATTAATACAAGACTACTTTAGACAACCAAAAAAACACACATGAAATCACATACACATAGTAATCATTTAAGTTACACACCATAAGTCAGGGTGACGCAGAGTCCAAATAGCATGTTGTAGGAACAAAGAGCCAGGAACAGCCTGGCCCATGGGCACCTGCAAGCCCCTGAGGCCAAACCCAAAAGCCAACTTCATTCCACTGGGCTAAGGTATTTGTCGGGAGCCAAGACACCTGCAGGAGAGGCAAATCGCACTTCCATGGCTACCTCTAGTACTGCAGTGCAAATGTGTGGATCAGGCCTCCCCAGAGGTGCACCGAGGAAAACAATTCAACTTTAGTTTTGTTCTGTGAAGGAGAGTTTAGAAAGTAAGGCAGTAAGGAACATGGAGCCGGCTGGCGGATGGGGCAAGGTGTCTGGTGCACAAAAGCAAACAGAAAGCTTTGACTGAGCGAACCTTGCTCCCAGCTGGCTCCTGCTGGGGGCCACCCTCTGTCAGGGCAGGCTGGGGTCAGAGAGGAGAATCTGGGTGTGGAGCAGAGGTGCCTGCCCCATGCCTGGCTAGGTTTCTGGGGACAGCAGGTGGGCTCTTAGAAATATAAAGTCTATCTGATTTGGATGGTGGCCACCTAATCTGTTGGCCAGTTCCTTCAAGGTTTTTAGTTAAAGTACACAAAACAGCCATGTGCACAAATGACTGCCACATATACTGAAAATCAGAGTATATTAGTAAACCACTACGTATTCTCCTGGTAGGTTTAAAAGGGATGTGTCTCCCCTTTTCTGCAAAAAAAACTGTACATGAATCAGCCCCGTCAATACCACCTGTTGTTTCCTTTTCATAGGACACAGTGGGCGGGAGGCGCTTCCAGATCTCTTTACTGGACTGTCCACTTCTCTGGTTCTTCACGTAAGGCTCACGGAGGGAGATGGACACACACCATATTAGCCAAATGACACTTCTGAGGGCAGAAGTGGGGGAGAACAAAAACCACTTTCTGGACTTGTATCATTACGCTTGCTAGACTTCTCATGAACCTTGTTCATGCCATGGCAATGCCAACAGGATATGTCCCGAGGGTGGAGGAAACTGGAAGGCCTAGGTTACTTCCGGGTGACTGGTTCCTTTGGGCCGACACCCAGAATGCGGGGCTGTGTCCACAATAATCTACAGAGCTATGCTGGCTTCTCTACAACCCTTAAAACCATGCTGTGGCTTCTAGCTGCACTTAAACTAAAAATCACCCATCCTTCCAAGGTCCCCTGCCCATCTCTCCCTCCTCGTCTGCACTCTCCTGGCTGCTCACTGCTCTCCACTGAACAGCGTCCAGCCTGGTGTCCAGCTCTGTCCAGCTCTGGGCCTCTTCCTCCCACAGCCTGGTGCGCTCTTGGCTCACGGGTCAGCTCAGGCAGAACCACTCTCACCAGCTCATAAGCTCATCTGGTCACTCCTCCAACGTCAGAGGTCATTGTCCTCACACCCTCAGTATTGTATGAATGGCAGAACCTCACAGGTTCCCTGGGTTTCCCAGCTGGGCTGTGAGGCCCAGGAGGGAGGGGGCCTGCCTGTCCTTCCCCTAATTTAAATGTGTCTACCCATTAAACAAATACCTTCCTATGTGCTGTATCCATTACCAGAAGCCCACAGGGTGCTGCACCTGCACAGGGCTGGGAGGAGGGACAGCAAACGCTGGCTGAATGAATGAATGAATGCGGCAGCGTTGCCAGAACTGACTGCGCCCCTCAGGGGCCCCCGAAGTTCAGAGTCCAGGGAGAACTGCGGGAGCTGGGGCAGGAGGGCGGCGGGAGGGCAGACCCGTGCGCGAGGGACTCCCAGGCCACCTCCCGGCGCTGCCGCTGGAGACCCGTGTGGTCAGGCGCGTGTTCTGCACCCGGAGGCCCCCGGTCCTCCACCCTCCGCCCGCGCTCCAGGGCGCAGCGCACCGGCGCGCCCGCCCAGAGGCCCATGTGCTGCCAGTTCCCCGCAGCCCCGCAGCCCGCACCCACCCCAGGTCCCCCGCTTACCCTGCAAGGGCCCCTCTGTCCCACCCGCGGAGGGAGGTGACGTTCCCGGGGAGGGGGCGGAGGGGTGACAGAGGGCGCCGCTCAGCTCTCCCACCCCGGCGGCCGGCGTGACCTCGCCTTCCACACACAAGCAGCGGCGAACCCGCGGATCCCGGGGCCTGGGCCCCGCCCACTTTCACGCCACGTTCCTGCTGGGCGGGGCGTAGCGGGACCCAGTGCGCATGCGGGGGGTCGAAGGCGGGGCTTCTCGGGCCCCGGTGCGCAGGCCGGGGGGGGCCTTTCCCCACGGGGGGTGGGACGGGCGGGTTGATCGGCTGGTTCCTTGCACAGCCTGAGCCTGGCTGGTGTCCCCACAGATCTGGGGTCTCGGACCCTTTGGCGCGCTCCCCCCCCCGCCCCCCCACACCGCCCCAAGCCCTAGCGCGGCTCTTCCCGTCGGATTCAGCTTCTGATCCAGCTTCGTCGTTTTACACTCCCACAGTAATATATAGGAGTGTGCGTTTCCCTACATTTTTAGTAGTAGAGTCTTTCCAAACCTTTGGATTATTGCCAATCCAATTGTTACAAAAATTCTCTCTCATTTACAGTTTTAATTTATATTTATTCTAATATTTTGAAATGTCTTTTCATGGAATTGTGATGACCCTGCTTCTGTCTACTGGACACATCTCTGACCATATTTTACTGTTAAGAGTTTCTAGAATTTTTCACTTTGGTTGACACAGGCTATTGCATATGCTATTTATGTTTGGAAAGCTCTTCCCTCAGGTCTTTCCCTAGTAAATTGCTATGGTCTGAATGTTTGTGTCCCCCCAAATTCATATGTTGAAATCCTACCACGCAAAGTGGGTGAGGCCTCTGGAAGATGAATTGAGTTAATGTCCTTATCAAAGAGGATGTAGAGCGATCCCCTGCCCTTTCTTCCATATGAGGGTGCAGTGAGATGACATGGCTCTGAGGAAGATGGCTCTTACCAGACACTGAATCTGCTGGTACCTTGTTCTTGGACTTCCCAGCCTCCAAGACTGTAAGAAACTCAGCTATAAATAAAAAAAAGGAAATCTTACCTTTTGAGACAGATGGGGATCTGGAGAGTATTGTGCTAAGTGAAATAATCCATCTATGTCAATGAAGTGTTAAAATCCCCTACTGTGATTGTAATACTTTCAATCACTCCACTTCTGTCCATCAAGATTTGCTTTATATATTTAGGTGCTCTTATGTTGGGTGCATAAATGTCTACAAGGGTTATATACTCTTATTGCTCCCTTTATCATTATGTAGTGTCCTTTTTTGTCTTTTACTATAGCCTATGTTTTTAAATATATACATATATATTTATTTATTGTTGACAGTATTAAAAATGTTCCCCATTTCCCCCCACTTTTCCCCCATCCACCCAGCTCCTACGCCAACCCAGGCCTTCATCACACTATTGTCTGTGTCTATGGGCTATGCATATCTATATATATAAAAGGCTAAGTAACCAACCGTAAGACCATACGACCGACTGACCGATCCACCAGTACATATGACGTGCACTGGCAATCTATATATATAAAAGGCTAATATGCAAAGTGTCCCCTTGGGAGTTCTACCAGGAGACTGGGAGTTTGATCACTTGCTATGACATGTGCTGACCACCAGGGGGCAGCACGAAACAAAGGAAGGCCCCAGCCAGCAGCCAGCAGCTGGGAAAGGGAGGCCCTGGCCAGCAGCTGTAAGGCCCTATTTGGCCCTGATCGCTGGCCAGGCCTAGCGACCCTACCCATGCACAAATTTCATGCACTGGGCCTCTAGTTTAAAAATAAACGTTGACTTGTGCATGCGCGATACATATAAAGCTCTTGCTGTGTCAATCACGTGTGTTTTAATTTTATAATACTATATTATATATACTATTTTGACATGTAATTCTTTGCAGTAGCATAATTACGGCATGAATCTTTCTTCTAATTAATTTCCTTTCAATGTGCACAAATTGGCCACTAGTAAGTATATAAGCTCTTTGGTTAATCTCTTCCTGTCACCCCTCCCCCCTGCCTCTGAGATCTGTCAGTCTGTTCCATGTATCCATGCCTCTGGACCTATTCTGTTCACCAGTTTATTTTAGATAATTAGATTCTATATATTACTGAGATCATATGGCATTTGTCTTTCTCTGACTGGCTTATTCACTTAGCATATTAATCTCCAGATCCATCCATGCTGTCTTAAAGAGTAAATGATCCTTATTTTTTATAGTCACATAGTATTCTAAAAATGTACCACAGCTTTTTTACCCCCTCATCTTCTGATGGGCACTTGGGGATCCATGACTCTGGACCTAATTTGTTTATCAGTTTATTTTGATCATTAGATTCCACATATAATTGAGATAATGTGATATTTGTCTTTCTCTGACTGGCTTATTTTGCTTAGCATAGTAATCTCCAGGTCCATCCATGCTGTTGCAAAAGGTAAAAGAAAATCCTTCTTTTTTTATGGCCACATGGTATTCCACTGTGTAAATGTACCACATTTTTTTAAATCCATTCATTTACTGGATAATTGAAATTGGAAAGTGGGGGGATACTAAATCTAGATAGTCTTTTCAGTCTCCCAGTTCCCCTTCCTGTAGGCATCTACTATTACCAGCTTGTTTGTATTCGCCAGAGGTATTTTTACATACATAAGCATATATGCATATTTATAGATTTGTTTCTGATATTTTTCAATCATAATAAAATGGCTCAACTTCAACCATATTTTTTTCATTAATTGTTGAATTCACATTTCTGGAAATATGTTTGGTGTCAGTCTGTAGAAAGATCATCAGGTGGCAGTATACGACCAGAAGATGGGGGCTAGGAGGGCCTTTGCAAAAACTAAATAGCAACTGCACTTGGTTTTCCTATGCTGGGGTAGCAATACTCATATCTGATAAAATAGACTTCAAGCCCTAACCGGTTTGGCTCAGTGGATAGAGCGTTGGCCTGCGGACTGAAGGGTCCCAGGTTCGATTCCGGTCAAGGGCATGTACCTTGGTTGTGGGCACATCCCCAGTAGGGGGTGTGCAGGAGGCAACTGATTGATGTTTCTCTCTCATCGATGTTTCTAACTCTCTATCTCTCTCCCTTTCTCTCTGTAAAAAATCAATAAAATATATTTTTAAAAAATAGACTTCAAAAGAAAGGCATAACAAGACTC